TAGTTGAACTACAGCTGCTCTGATTTCTCATACCATATGAGAATATGTAGGCACAAGACGCGATGTCTTGGCGAGCAATCCCCCCGTAGTTTCCTGAACTACATTGCTCTGACTTTCCCATTGCATGAGGGAATATGTAGGCATAGGGCGGCGATGTCCTATCGAGTCAGTTCTTTCCGTTTACCCCGTTTAGCAGCAGCCTTAGATAGTTTGTTTTTTCACCCATAGATTTAGACAACAAGCGTGGATCCCGTTGAGTACAACGGACGTGAGGGGTGCTCATACCTTCCCCTTGCGTAATCGACTCCTGAACCCAAGATTTAGTTGCGATGATCTGTCTTTTCCCTTTTTCGTAGGTTTTCTCTGATCGTTTTCTTTCCCTCTCTTTGGGATAAATAACAAACGGTGGCGACTCTTTTGTCCTTGTCGACCCCTCTTCGCAGTGATGCAACAAGGTTGTCTAGCTTATATCAGGATTATGGATCATAAGCGAGTTAAACTCTACAGTAGAGTATATGAATGTGTATTTATTGGGTATGCAATAAACAGTAAGGCATGTTTTATGACCTAAATGATAATGTGATCATAGAATTAAATGAAGTTGAATTTTATGAAGATAAATTTCGTTTCAAATAAATAAATAGTTGGGACACTGAATTGAATCACACTCATGTAATAAGAAGCGCCAAAAGCAACGATCGAGTAGAAACAAAAATTCGATGAAGCAAAAGAATAAGAGTTTTTAAAGACTATGGGTCCAATTATGTGTTCTATATAATAGAAAAATATCAAACAAATCTTCAAGAAGCTTTGTCATCTTTGAATGCAAATTTGTGGCAAGAAACTGATAACAATGAGATAGATTCTCTAGAATCTAATAGGATCTTCCACTTAATAAACTTTTTTCTGTTTGCAAATCAGTCAGTTTTAAGGTTTTTAAAAAATTAACTAAAACTTGATGGAACAAAGTGAGGGCGGGGCAAGGAAAGCCTACGGGCATTGCACTTTTTAAGTATAAAAACGCAAAATTTTATGTAAGTGTTTGTGCCTGTAAAATCCTGCGAAGAAAACGGGGCGAGGCGGGGCGGAACAGACATATCAGAGGGTGAGGGCCTAAATCCTTTGCCCGCCCCGCATTAAAGTGCGGGAAAAACATGCAGGTCCAATGGCCCGGGTTCGTTTTTCACCCCTAGTATTAGGTATTGTCATTGGTTGTACTAAAACAGACATTACATATGTCATAGGATAGTTGTGCAGATTTACTAATAGACCGAGTAATGAGCGTTACCAAGCAATTGAAGGAGTCGTGTGATACCTTAAAAGTACCTTGAATCTTGATCTACATTATTAAATAATTATTTATGTACTTGAAGGACACAACTGTGCATATTGGAACATATTATCAGATGACTTTAAAGGAAATAATGGCAATATATTCAGTATAGTTGAAGGAGTTGTATCTTGAAAATCAAAGAAACATACTATCTTTGCTCAGCCTATAATGGTGTCTGAAATGATACATTAGCAACTGCTAGCTGGTTAAGATGTTTGCTAGCATAAATCCCTTTGTGGAAAAAACATATGTTAGTTGTGTTTATCCACTATGATAGTATCGCAACTATTACAAAAATTGAGAACCGTTATTATAATGGTAAGAGACATCAAATAAGGAGAAAGCACAACACTGTTAGAAACTTTAAAAATATGAGCTATAAGAGTGAATCATGTACGCATTGATAAAAACTTAGCAAGTCCTTTGACGAAAGGACTTGCTAGAGAGAAAGTTCATAATACATCTAATATGATGGGACTAATGTCTATAGATGCTAAGGAATGCACATGTTTCATTCCAAAACACAACAAAAATTACTTTGAGTTTGTCTTTTCCCACTCTCTTTATCTCGAATTGTCAAATTACCAACGTCTTTTTTTTTCTACTCGTTGAATTTTTTTAGTATTGTCTTGAATTCTCTTTAGAGAATAATTTGAATTTCTCCTCGTCTTAGAAATTATTTGAAGCAGTCAAACGATCATTATTAAATTCTCTTTGAAAAATTATTTGAGTTTCTACTCGTTTGAGAAATTATTTTAAGTGGTCAAATGACCATTATTAAATTCTCTTTGGAGAATTATTTGAAGTTTGAAAAATTCTTTAGAGTGATCTTTCTACTATAAAGGGTGTATTTTTAGACTGATTATCTATCGAACAAATAGTAATCGTAAAGTATATAACTGGGTAATTTATTCTAGAGGCATCGTGGTCAATTTCTGATCATACACAATTTTAGATAGTACTGAAAAACGTCTTAAAAAGAGAGAGACTTACTCTACGATTCGACCTGATAAATTTTTTGGTGGCAATTTTTTCAAAATTGTAAAACTAGGGAATAGATTTGATGCCTTTACTCCGTTGCTGCCTCGATAACTTTAGACTAATTAATAGATGAATGAATCATTAAAAAAATGTTATTTATAAAAATAAAAATTGGTTTAGAGAAATGTACTTAAGGTATCAAAATCCTTAGTAAGTCAATCCCATCTCCGTTTAGAATGTTTGGTTCATGATAGGGGTGTGCAAAAAAAATCGGTTATTGTTAATCAAATTAGTATTTAAATTGTTTCACTTATAAAAATTTAAACCAAATACTAAAATATAATTGTGGCTATCCATTTTGTTATCCAAATATAAATCGGTTTCCATAATAATAATGTGATTTAGAGAAATGTACTTAAGGTATCAAAATCCTTAGTTAGTCAATCCCATCTCCTTTTAGAATGTTTGGTTCATGGTAGGGGTGTGTAAAAAAATCGGTTATTGTTAACCAAATTAGTATTTAAATTGTTTCACTTTTAAAAATTCAAACCAAATGCTAAAATATAACTGTGGTTATCCATTTTGTTATTCAAATATAAACTGATTTCCATAATAATAATGTGATTTAGTTATTGGGTATATAAATTTCATTATTTGTTAAATTGATATGTTTGTCTCTTTTACTGTTTTATCATATAAACGTTATAAATCAATTTTATATTTTGAACTATTTTAAAGTTTAATTTTTTTGATTTCATAAAAAAAATTATTTTACAAAAATTTCAGAATTTTGTTTTTCAAAATGAAAAAGAAATAATTCTATTACTACAAACTATTTGTAGCTTATTCTGCATAATAACTATTAAAATTGGTGAAAATTCACACATAATCAAAAAAGCATTATGTTGATTGAATTAATTCTATTACGACAATTTTATAATGGTAATCAACAAAATCATTATAACTACAATACCTATTCAATTTTCACGTAATATAAACCAATAGTTTTTCAAAAAAAAAAATATTTTCAAAGAAAAAATATTTTAAAATCTTAATAAACTTTTTTAAGTATTTAAATTTAAGAATTGATATAATTTAAAAAAAAATAAAATTTAAATTTAATTAAATAATTTAAATTAAAATCAAAATCCATTTAAAATCAGTTTTAAACGAGTATAAAATAAGTGGTTTGGTTTATAAACCAATCTATTTTACCATAAAAATATATTGGTTTATAAACCATAACTATAAAAATTGACTGATTTATATTAAATAGTTATCCATACACACCCTTTCTTCATGATACAAAAGATAGAAAAGCTGAACATGTTTTTTTATTTAATTTGGTGTATCTTGTTGCCCAACATACATTAGTTGTTTGGTTGCGAGGTGGCTTGCTGTTTTGGAAATCTGTTGGCTGCTTGATTTGCTCCATTTCTCAAGATTTTTCGGAAGCAGGCAGTCTGGTTTATGGTTTTGGTGTTCAAGAGGCTCAGTAGGGTTATTTGTGCTTTTCTAGTGTAAAAATTGTGCTTGTATTGTTTGCTCTTTGCTGGTGATTTAGAACCTTCGGCTGTGCTGGGTTTATTGGTGGAGTATGTGTGTTCTCGGGGACTTTGCTATTAGTATCAGAAGGGTAGACTGAAAAAACAGCAAAACAATATACCCCACCCAAAACAACGTTGTGCATAAAAACTTTGCAGACCAAACCAAGATCTCTTGAATCTATATAATATATAAAGAAAGTATTTTATTTTGGTGATCTCACGAATCTATATATAATATATAAAAAAAAATATTTTATTTTGGTGAGGTTTATTTTTTTATAACTTTTATTTTTATTTTATTATATAATTTATTTAATAATTTTTTATTGTTAACTCTCACATAACTTTTTATTATTAACTTTTACATATTATATTTTATTAAAATTTTATTTAAACAAAAAATATCATTTATATTTCAATAATTCATGCAAATTAAAAAAATAAAAAAAACAAAAAGACGGTTAACGCTAGTTATTATAAAAAATTAAAATTTAAAATATCATTTATATTTTCATTCATGCACGTTGAAAAAGTTATTATAAAAAAAATAAAACCTATTTTATTTTGGTATGACTTATTTTTCTATCATTTTTACACTTACTTTATTAAATAATTTAGTTAATAACTTCTTAATGTTAACTTCCACGTAACTTCTTATTTTAAGTTTCACATATTATATTTTAATATATTTTCATTCATTTTCATTCATGTGCATGAAAAAAAAACTTCCACATATTGTATTTTAATATATATCCATTCATGCGCATGAAAAAAAAAACTTCCACATATTGTATTTTAATATATTTTCATTATGCGCATAAAAAAAGCTATAGCTGGAATATATTTTCATTCATGCGCATAACAAAACGGGCAGCCCGTCTTGATGCTAGTTATTATAAAAAAGATAAAGCAGACTAACAAAATAATAAACAAAGGGAAATAACTAAATAAGCACTCCTTTAAAAATGAACATTAACCAGTTCCATTGATCAAGCACCATGAATGCGCAAAAACATTTTTATTTTTGAAAACTATCCTATATTAAGCCTTCTAAAAGAGCAGCTCTTTAGTGACAACCTCAATCAAACCAACATTGGTTGAAACCCAACCATTATAATAAAACACAAAATACAACATGTTTAAGCATCATCAAGAGCAAGGACTCCAGGTAGTGGCTTCCCCTCAAGAAGCTCTAAGCTCGCACCTCCGCCGGTAGAGATGTGGCTCATCTTGTCTGCTAGTCCAGCCTTCTCCACGGCGGCTACAGAGTCGCCTCCTCCAATGATGGTTGTTACTCCTTTGCCACTTATTTCTGCCAGTTTCTTGGCAATGGCCTGCAGACACAGAAAATAAAAGAGAATAATCATCAATCACTAGTGCAAAACTACATCAAATCAAAATTCAAAAACTTAAATATCAATTTGTACCAGTCACGTAAGAGTGTAATTGTTCAACTTCAATAAAAAAGACTAATCAAATTACACTGGTTCATGACAGGTTCATGAAGGATGCATGTTTTTACAACAGATAAATGGTCTGCCAATGTGAAACTTATGTGCCATAATTCAAAAATAGTTAATGATTTATAAGAGCACATTCAAAAATGGTTAATAATTTATAGACATTCAATTCAAGAAACGCAAATCATTCAAACCTCTGTTCCTGCGGCAAACTTAGGAAACTCAAAAACACCCATTGGTCCATTCCAAATGACGGTCTGACTCTTGTCCAATGCTTCGTTAAATGTTTTGATGGAATCAGGTCCAATATCCAATCCCATCCAACCATCAGGGATGCTTGATGCTGGTACAATCTGAACACAAATAAACAAAGCTTTTAAGTATACATCAAAATTTCCTTGATAGAAAAATTCTGAAAACATCAGTGTAAGTAATCATGGATCAAGGAAAATAGCTGTCTGTTCATAAGTGGCTACACTGCAACACTACAGCACAGCAATAGGCATGATACTACTAAATCCAGCCTCCCACATAAAGCTTAATACCTTGTCGTTAGCATCAGCAGAAAACTTGTCGGCTATAACCACATCAGTTGGAAGCAAAAGGGAAACTCCTTTAGCCTTGGCTTTCTCAATAAGTGAAGTTGCAAGATCAAGCTTGTCTTCCTCAACAAGAGAGGTCCCAACTGAATAACCTTGAGCTTTGTAAAAGGTAAACACCATTCCTCCACCAAGCAAGAGAATGTCAACCTTCTCCAACAAGGATTCAATAACTCCAATCTTGGAAGACACCTTAGAACCACCAACAATGGCAGCAAACGGTTTCTTGGGGTTTGCCACAGCTCCAACTAGATAATCAAGCTCCTGGAACAATTGAACATTACAACAGATCAATCAACAACTACATCAATTACCAAATCTATTTGTTGTCATTGTAGATAGCAGAAAATAGTAGTAATCAAATTTGGCTACAAAAACATTGCTATGCCATGGCTATAGCCACTACTTGGCAAAACTTTGTACTAAATAATGTTAGTGTTAGTGTTGTCGATAACAAATAGCAAGACAATAGAGGATTGTTAAAATTCCCTCTATGCAATAGTGCTTTAGCAACTATTTGACAACATTATAAACTAAATAGAGTATCACAAAAAAATTGGGGTTGGTTCAAACCCCGCTAAATTGAATAAATATCATGAAAATAGTGATTTTCAGTATAGTTCTATAGCATTGCTTATTCTATATAGCCGCTAATTAACAACACTATCAAAAATAACATGGAATTGCATTTACTCCCAACATACCTTCTGCATGAGGAATCCTGCAACAGAGGGCTTCAAGTATTTAGCAACACCTTCTGTAGAAGCATGAGCACGATGGGCAGTGCCAAATGCATCATTCACATAAAGATCAGCAAGGGAAGCCAACTTCTTAGCAAATTCAGGATCATTCTTCTCCTCTTCCTTGTGGAACCTCACATTCTCTAAAAGCAAAACACCACCTTCTGGAATTTGTGCAACCAACTTCTCAACCTCCTCGCCAATACTGTCACCAGCAATCTTAACCTATAATAATCAAGAGAAATCAACATAATCAAAAAAACAAAGTAAATCAGCAAATAAGAATGGTTTGATAGAATCCCAAAATAGAACAAACAGATCAGTTTAGTAAACACACACCTCGGTTCCAAGAAGTTCAGACAACCTTGGTACAAGAGGCTTCAAACTGTATTTAGGTGTTACACCCTTTGGACGTCCCTGAAAACAACACATTCAAGAATAAATTTCAAGTTGCTACTACTATCAAACATTCATAAATAATCAAAATTAAAACAAAAAACCCATACCCATTACTTCAACCTTTAAATCAAAATATTTACCGGATCTAATCAAATAGAAAATTAACTTAAATCACAACAAAAGCCATAACAATAGATACACATTATTTCCAATATTATAACAACAACACCGAATATTTCAGCATGATTAACAAATACAAACCTACTAACAGTAATCAATCTAACGAAAACACAACTTACAGTCATGCAAAGAGATTATAGAAGGGTTACCAGATGGGAGGAGAGGATGACTTTAGCACCATAACCAGTCAAGTACTTGATGGTAGGAATAGCAGCACGGATTCTGGTATCATCGGTGATGTTCAAGTTATCATCCAAAGGAACGTTTAGATCAACCCTAACGAAAACCTTCTTTCCTTTCAAATCAGCTTCCTTCAATGTTCCAACGCTTCTCTTTGTCGCCATTTTCTTCAACTTTGCACAAATCTGAATCAATGAATCAAACACGTTCAAATTCAAACAGAAACAAAAACGGATCAGAATCTGAAAGAGGAAAACGGAGTGAAAATTGAGAGTTTGGTAGCGGAACTTACAATAGTTGGTTGAGATCGGAGTTCGAACACGGACTGTGAGAAGGAAGGTTCTGGAAGATTTATAGAGTGAAATGAGACTCGTGCGAAGCACACGTGTGAGATGGTGTTTGTGTCTTGGTTTTCGTTGTTTGGGGAAGCGTTTTTTCTTGGGTGACACGGTGGGCGCAGTGGAACTTATAATCTGTGGACTATTTATGGAGAGAATTCACTTGTTTGTATTTTTATTTTCTTTTTTGAAAAAGTACTAAAATAATACTATAGATTAATGAAAAATTCACTTCTTTGTATTAATTTATAGAAATTAAAGATTCATTTGCTTGTATTAATTTATAGCATCTTTAATGGGACACCTTAATAACTTTCTTAACTTTTTTTTATCATTGATTGAAACTTGATTCTATATTCTTTTCAAAAATGAATTCATTAACTTTTTTTTTTTTCTCTTTTGAAGCTTAATGACCTACAAATTTGATTCCTTATCTTTAAGAAAAATCTCTTATATATTCATTTCAAAAATGAGTTCTTTAACATTTCAAAAGAAAAATATGTTAATTTTTACTAAATAATTTTACATGCCTGGGGTGCTAGCTCATAAATATTAATTTAATCTTGTATTTCTATAATGCTGAGTTTGAACTTTATCATCTTAAAAAATAATTGTGAAATCACTATTAATTTTATTTTAATTTATAAAAATAAATACTCACTTATAGATAATAATTATATTATAATAAGTATTTTTATTATCTGTCTAACGTCTAATTGTTTTTTTTTATATACCTAAATATAAATAATATTTTTTAATTTTAATTATTTGTATAATAAAATTAGTATAATCTAATTTTATATTAAATATGTAGTAAATGTAAATAAAAAACTCTCTCACTTAGATGTGTCGTCAATGTTGATGTAATTTAGTCGGCCGTTGACGAGCTACAAGTGCTCGTCGAGGTCTCGTTGTCCATCATATTCGTCCAGTTTGGGCGACATCTCTATAGACTTTGGTATTTTGCTTTTCAAAATCCTCACAGTCAGTGGATGCAACGGCAACATATTTCCATTTGACTTTCTTCTTGAGCGCGGGAAAAAGCGTGACTACCTCGGTACCCCGGAGCTATAGGGAAAAGTCTGATGTTTTTTTGCTCGTCTATTGATCTCTTGATCGAAGGACTTCGTCTTTCTTCGTCCCAAACGACTCTAAGACAACACAATGGGTCCTTTTTAATGCAACCTTTTGGACTACATTTCCACGAGGTGGAGTGTTGTGGAGGCGTTGCAGACTTCCTTCGAGTGTGCTTGAATTTTGTTGTCGAGCTATGTTATACACGTTATTCAACAGTCCGTTAGCACCTTGCACTTTGAGGTTTACTTGCAACACCTAGAGGCTAAGCAAGGCTTTTAGTAGCAAAACTAGAGGCGGAACATGAGGATTGATTGGAGTCACTTGAATAGGTCTGGTTATCTGCGGAACCTGGATCAGATTTGGATGTAATTGAGTCATTGCTCCAGGATTTGAGATGCCTTACGTTGGAGGGAGAGGTGGTTGATTGACTGTTGCTAGAGAAGCACAGACTCCGAACGCTGCGACGGATCATGTCACTCTAGATCCAACCATCACTTGGAGTCATAGAAACTAGAGATTTGAAAATTCGATGAATCAGAACTGAGATGATGCTTGATTGAATCTAAACATGATGGATCTTCAAATTCGATTCAGGATGTTCTTGATTTGGTGATCTGATGAAGTTACAAGCTGGTGAATTAGAGAACGAACATGAAATCACGGAAATAGTATGAATCATTCCCACAGACGGCGCCACAACTTCGTTCATAAACCAGAAATGAATTTAGAAATAGGGGTGGGGTGGATCAAAGCTTCATATGCGATGGAGTGGGGGATTTGCGATGTTAGCACTCTAACGCTGAAGTAATGTGTGGAGAAGAATAGTATAGTGAAATTGAATTTGAATCTCATTAACTCAATTTGATACATTCTTTATACATGGAGAAATATAAATAATAAACTCACTAGTTGTTAAAAGTGAATTGCGGAGAGTCGTTGGATGTATTTGTCATTGAGATCATTTGTATTCATCATAATAACAATTCTCGTGTGTTGAAAGGTTCTTAAAAGAGTGTTGTTCATTTTTAATGATTGGTCAAAATCAACATAGCAGACTCATAACAGGTTAGAATTGTTAGAACACAGATTGGTTCTTAATAATTACTCTTTGTTTTGATGATAACTGTTAGGAAATTTATATTTAAGAATTATATACTCTAAAATTTGTTTGAGAGTTTTATTGCAGATTAATATTATATTAACTCTCTAGAAGCAAATCTGCCTTGAATACAAGAAGCTATTCTGACTCTGAAGCGCCAGATGCACCTTACAGAAGAATCTGTTTGCTCCTTACAGAAGATCCTGAGCGTAGTCTCCAGAAGGATCTGAAGCAAGAAGCTCCAGAACATTCTAAGTCAGAAGCATCTGAAGATAGTCAGAAGCATCTGAAGATAATCAGAAGCATCTGAAGCTGAAGCATCTGAAGTATAGAAGAATATTGATTGAAGAGTTTCTCATAGCATTAGTCTACAGAAGTTTCTGAAAGTACCTACGCTGCCAAGTACTGAAGTTCTGTGTCAAAATGCTCTGATGATCAACACGCTAGAAGCACACACGCTGCAGAAGACTCTGATACAGCATAGTTCTGAATCTCATCAGAAGACTCTGATCCATTCAAACTCTGAAGAACTTGCTGAAACTGAAGAAGTGTTTTCAAGAATGTATCCGTTGGAACTATTCAACGTCTCTTTCCTTATTTGTGCTAGACACACTTACACAGACAAAAAGGATTTATCTGTGCCATCTATTTCAAGGAAAGGTCAGTGCATGTGAAGACAAAAAGGCTCAGACCTTTTGGACTCTCTTTTCAATGTTCAACTTGCATGATTCAGCTGCCTATAAAAGGAGATCTTCACTTCATTCTTCAGTGCTACTCTCTTGCTGAAAAGAAATCAATATATTCTATAAGCTCTCATTCTTAAATTCTTCATAGAATCTCATTGTACTTAAACTTAAGAGAAAAATCACTGTTGTGATTATAGCTTTATAGAAGCATTAAAAACTTTTGTATTTAATTTACATTGATTGTAAAGGATATTTCCTTAAGAGGATTCAGTTAGAATCAGTAGCTCTTAAGAAGACTAAGAACTGTTGTTCTTAGGTGATACTATTGTAATCAGTTTGATTTAATAGTGGATTAAGTCTTTGTTGAGAAAGGCAAATCACTCTGGAAGGGTGGACTGGAGTAGTTGTTTAACGAACCAGGATAAAAATAATTGTGTGATTATTTTCAAGTATTTATTTTCCATACTTATTCAATCCCCCCTTTCTAAGTATTATATCACCTTCAGTTGGCATCAGAGCTCCGGTTCTGAGTGTGCTATCACTTAACAGTGTCAGTAAAGATCCAGAGAGATATACTTTGATCAATATATTTATTTGTTATCATGGCTGATAATTCAATGTCAAATATCAACAATAAATATGAAGAGAGGGATAGGATCAGTACCAAACCTCCAATGTTTGATGGAGAAAAATTTGACTATTGGAAAGATAGAATAGAAAATTTTTTTCTTGGGTATGATGATGATCTTTGGGATTTGGTCATTGATGGATATGAACATCCTACTGGAGAGGATGGCAAAAAGATTGATAGAAAATCAATGACTGAAGTGCAGAAAAGAGACTTCAAGAATCACCACAAAGCCAGAACTATATTGCTTAATGCAATCTCTCATACTGAGTATGAGAAGATTACTAACAGAGATACTGCTCACGACATGTTTGAATCACTCAAAATGACTCATGAGGGAAACTCCCAGGTTAAAGAGACAAAGGCTCTGGCGCTCATACAGAAGTATGAGGCATTTAAAATGGAAGATTCTGAAAATGTAGAAACTATGTTTTCTAGATTTCAGATTCTTACAGCTGGTCTGAAAGTTCTGGACAAGGGCTACTCAACGTCAGATCATGTCAAGAAAATCATCAGAAGTCTTCCCACCAGATGGAGACCAATGGTGACAGCATTGAAGATGGCAAAAGATCTGAACAAGATCTCTCTAGAAGAACTTATCAGTTCTTTGAGAAGCCATGAAATTGAGCTGGAGGAAGATGAACCCCAGAAGAAAGATAAAGGTAAATCCATAGCTTTAAAATCTAACAAAACTGCTAAAGCTTTGCAGGTCATTCAAGAAAGCTCTGAAGAATCTTCTTCTGAAGAAGAAGATGAGTTATCCATGCTGTCCAGAAGGATTAACAAACTCTGGAAGCACAAAGGAAAGAAGTTTAACAACTTCAGAAGATTTGATAACAGAAAGGAATCTTCTAGTCACAGAAGATCTGCCAAGAAAGAAGTGGTGTGCTATGAGTGCAAAGAACCTGGGCACTACAAGAATGACTGCCCCAAACTTCTGAAAGAAAAACCTAAGAAGAAGTTCAACAAGAAGAAGAAGGTTCTGATGGCAACATGGGATGACTCAGATGAGTGTGAGTCATCTTCTGAATCAAAAGAAGAATGTGCAAACGTTGCACTGATGGCCAGGACAGAAGATCAAGAGGAAGGTACCTCTGGATATGAATCAGAATCTGAATCTGATGATGATGCAGAAGAGATGTTCTTAGCAGCAAGGTCAGGACACTAATCATGGTACCTGGACTTTGGATGCTCACGACACATGACAGGAGAAAGGTCTATGTTCCAAAGCCTGGAACTTAGATCTGGAGGGGACGTGAAGTTTGGAGGGAACCAGAAGGGCAAGATCATTGGATCTGGCACTATTGGAAATGGTAAGCTTCCCTCTATTACTAAT